TTTTCTTGTATCTTTTTGTTAGTCATATCCATATTGTATACAATAAAATTATCCAGTATGTTGTATTAAACTGCTTAAATAATTAAATTTGCATAGCATAGAATTGTTGTTCATTGTTTTGTTTAAATCATAAATTAATATTAGATATTTAATGTAAATAAGACTTATTTTAGAAAAAGCAAATATCATTGAATTATAATTCAAGATATTTTTATATGCATTATACAATTCATGCATATTGTATAAAAATGTACAGCATTTCTCAATCACTTACTGTATTTTTATTGTTATAACAGTCAGTATATATAATAGTATATAATAAGTATATATAATTTAATTTATTAAATAAATTTATTAATTATTATCTAAGAGTATATTGCAGAATAAGCAATTTGATATGAAATATTGTAACAAGTAATATTTTAAAAAATATTTTTAGAATACGATTGGGAAATGCTGATCTGTGTGTATAAATAGATGTTTTTATAAATCATTTTTATAATGGGAAATGGTAACAAAACGATATTAAATTTTTTAATTAGGACTAGACGCCAAGTTCGAGGTTTTGCCTCTGGCAACTGCAACCACATTCGATTATAAACAACGGATAATATTCCAACAAAAAATTTTGTGCATTATATTTGTACTGCTATACATGTTATTTAACTAAAAAAATCTCATTTGCTAATTTATTATAAATCTATATGAAAAACGATATCATTTTAATCAATTTATTTATTATTATTATTTTCATTTAATTATTTAATTTTTTTCATCAAGTTTGTGATTTTTGGACATTTTTCTACAATTTAAAAATATACTTGGTAATGTTTTATGGAAGAAATTTGTAAATAAACATTCGAAATTGTAAGTATTAATATTGCGATTTAATAAATGATTTAATAAAATTAATATTGTGATAAACAATTTTAGATAAGTGTTATATTTATATTGTATAATAGATAATATTTAAAAATGATATTAAAGGAAAATATTTAAATGAAAATCAATACTAGTTTTTTTTTTTAGATAAAATTTTATAACTATTATTTTTATGTAATTTTTTACATTAAAATGAATTAAGTTATTCAAGAATTATTCAATTTTTATAAATATTTAAAATATAAAATTTTAAAATATCTTGTAAATTGAAATTGAACTTATTTTTATATTAATCAATTAATTTGATAATTGTAATTTTTCAAAAATAATTTTCTTATTGAAAAAAAGAAAAATTTGTACAATATTTTATTTGAAAAATAACAAGTAACTGATTTTCATTTGATTGCCATTTGTTAAAAAGGCGATTTGTAATCTTTTGTTTTGAATATATAGTTTTAATAATTAATGAATGCATGAAAATTTCAACATTAGAAATATTATATCATTTAGAAAAATCTAGCTTTTATAGAAATTTATGGCAATATATATATACATATAGATATATATCTATTTTTTAATAACAAAAAATATCTTCTTGTATTGTAAAACAATTCAATTTTATACTTTAAAATATATAAAATTATTATTAAATTATATATGTAATTCAATATAATTGTTCTTTATGCCATTGCATAATTATAAATAGTTTCAAATAAAATATTTGTATAATGTAGAATTTATTGTAACAATTAAAATTTAATCATATTATCAATATTATCAAATGAGATGAAAATTAATAATTTATAGATTTCACTTAATGCATGAAATAAAAAAAAATTATTCTAATACTTTTGATTTATGTTAATAGTTGAATAATTGTAAACTTCAATTTTTGCTGATAGTAAATTATGCAATATTTGTAATATTTGTAAAAGTAAAATTGAATAATAAAATTGTAATATTTGTAAAATAAAGATATTGTAAACTATCAATTGATACAAAATTATGATTCCTAAAACTTACTATTTAAATAACAGTGCAGATTTCTTATAAAATGGAAAAAGGTAAGTTAATATTTTGAAGATTTATTTAAGAAACGTTTATCTTTACACGAACAATGAATACTTGACTGATTGAAATATCTTACGTAATTTTCATACAACCAGAGTTCTAATATGATAAACACTACATTGAACATACTGTTCCTACAAAAAAAGTGCCTTATTCTCTAATGTACATTTCACTATGTATTGTATCAATAATGATAAGGATGACGAATATAATAAAATTGTAATGAGAAACTAAACATTTTCGATCTTATTCAATCTTAAAAGTACTTTTAGAAGAATTAACAATTGTCTTTTATCACGATTCTTTAACTTCCGGTTTTAGCTTTCTTTTTATAAGTATTCTTACTCTGTAAAATGTAAAATGGCAAAAAGATGTAAATGAAATTATAGGGAATTAGCAATTATAATTGATAATTTTTGAGAAATAATATATAATCTACTTTCGTATAATAACACCAAAAAATTAAAATTATCTATATCAAAAACAGTTAAACCAATTTTTGTATCAATTTTCTAAAAATCTGAATTTTAAATACATGTTATAAAGAATGATCATGTTATAACTCATACATTATTATGGAGTACAACATAATATGTAGTTTGGAATGAAAATGTTTCATCCATGAGTGTTACGAATGATAATAATAGTAATAAATGGTATGTATGGGAGTTACATATTGTTTAAGCACGCTCGCCACGGATTCGTCGAGCTAATTGGATATCCTTGGGCATGATTGTAACACGTTTCGCATGAATAGCGCACAAATTTGTGTCTTCAAATAAACCAACCAAATATGCTTCTGAAGCTTCTTGTAAAGCTCCAATTGCAGCACTTTGGAAACGGAGATCAGTTTTGAAATCCTGTGCGATTTCACGAACCAATCTTTGAAAAGGTAATTTCCTGATTAACAATTCTGTTGATTTTTGATATCTTCTGATTTCTCGAAGAGCTACTGTACCAGGCCTAAAAATTACATTTTATTTTGCAGATATTATATACTAAATAATATTTATTATTACTATTATATATTATTTAAAATCTACCTATATCGATGTGGTTTTTTCACACCACCAGTAGATGGTGCACTTTTACGTGCTGCCTTTGTGGCTAGTTGTTTACGAGGTGCTTTACCTCCAGTTGACTTACGAGCTGTCTGCTTAGTACGTGCCATTATTCACTCTGAAATAATATTTGATTAAATTCTTTTAAAATTTAAATTTTTAAAAAGCATATTTTTTTATATCAAATTAAAAAGTTGTAATATGATATGAATATGTATATAAAGAAATATGTATAAACAAATTTCTCAATTTTATTCATCATAAAAATGATCTCCAAGAAAAAACGAACGCGGGAAAAATTATTTTAAAAGGTATACTTGATAACTAGAGTAAACTAAATTCTGGAGTGGGAAGAAAAGGATGGTGGGGCAATGAAAGTGGGGGTATGTTCCGTTGCTGTTCGTGCGAAGGAACCGCGCACCAAAGAACGCTGCGCATTGCGCAATGCACAAACTTTCTTGCACCGACGCGAATAAAACCCATGCTAACAAGAAAAATGTATCATCCTAACTAGCAAGTATTTCTTTATCTTCTAATTATCCCACTGATAAATGGAAGCATAGTTTATCAAATGAGATTAAACGAATGACACTCGCCATAAAACAAATCGAAAGCGTCACTTCCGAGAAAGGATCATGAAGCGATTCCCTCCACGAACGTCAATTGCAAAATGGAGGCAATACGATAGTACGTCGCGTTCGAACATGAAAACTCGAATTTTCCAACACTTTTCACATTTATTAATACACGTTGTATTGTCCATATATTTGCTGATACCAATAATCACACATGATCGTAAATGAAACATAATTTTGATAAATTTACATACCACTTAAAGAAAAAATTCTACGAGAAGCAAGAGCTAGCACTATCCGTTTCCTTGTACTTCGATGGCAGTGGACGCTCTCCCAAGTCACGACTCCCTTGTCCCTACCCCCTAGAATTAAATCGTGAGAGGCACGTAAGCCCGCGGTGCAGTGCATCCAATCGGAGGTCGGATAGCCATTGAGTTTCAGAATGTAGCACATGCGATTGGTTCAACCTCCTACGCCTAGATTGCGAACCAAGAAGGACCCTGTCAATTGTAATATACATGATACTTCTCGGCAACCTCATTTTACTTGTAATAATTGCTATCCCATTGTTTTTCAAATTAATGAAATTGATAAATATTATAAAAAACATTTATTATAAAAATCATAACATATCAGAAAGAATTTCTTCTATAATCAATGATCAAACCTGTGTTAAAATTTATATCTGCATACATTTTTCGTAACTTTTATCGTGTAATTCTATCTGCAATGAAATCAGTTATTTCGTGGAAACCTCCAGAAAAGTATGCAATTTCTATAGAACATGACGGACACGTCATCTCGATAATTATTAAAATAGCAATTTTTGATCGTTATTTAGAATGAATACATTTTTGATTTGAAATTTAAATGATTATTCTCAGAATTAAAGTTTTATCTATATTTTTTATTCAGAAACGCCAAAAAAAATAATAATAAAATAAACGCCATCATATATCTAAACGTAAATAACATTATGTATTGATGTTAAATTGGCAAAATTATTAAATTTTGGCGCTTTTGTCAATTGAATTTTATAGCGGAAATAGTACAGTATTAAACAAAATTAATTCAATAACTTTTCTAATTTCAGAAAACATTTTTAATTATATTTTTATTTTATTAAAAAAATATATAAATTGTGTAAAAATATACAATTTTATAGATTATCATCAATGATATAACTTGATGAATTTTTAATAATTTATTTTTTTTTATATTTATCATTATATATTTATAAAATATATGTTATACTTATGTTTATATAAGAAGGTAATAAAATATTAATATGGTTTTAAAATATATTATTTACATTGATGATGTAATCTTTATAATTACTGATTCAATTAATTATAATTTCTGTATCAATAGTATATGTGATATTAAAAAAAATTTATTAAAAAAAAAAGATTATTAAAATTCACTAAAAATATTAATTAAAAATTATGTTAAGAAAAATAAAAATTAAAGAAAATAAAAATATTTTATAAAGAATTTTATGAAATAAAAAATTTTATTTTAAAGAAAAAATATTTTTAATAATCTATATTACTTATCAAAATTTAAGTATAATTATTTTTTTAAAAAAGAAACTTAATTTCAAAAATTTTAACACTGTATTTTAATAAATATAAAAAAAAATAAATGTAAAATATAAAATAATAAAATATATTAAATAAAATAAATTCATTTTTTTGGGAAGACAATTCAAGTTAAATTTATTAAAAAATTTGTATAGATCATTTACATTGATTTAGAGTTATGAATTATTTTTTTATTATTAATATTTATACTAACATAATGATAAACTAATTAACAATGAAATGTATTTTTATGCTTAGTGGCATATTAATTTCATTTATAAATATAAGTATATATATATATATAATCAATTTTGATAATTTAGTAATACAAATACAACTAATATTTTCACATTTAATTCAGAAATGTTTTCTTTTTTTTCTTTTTTTTTTTTTTTTTGTAAAGACTATAGTACTGTGCATATTA